TCTGCACATAGCTTGGTTGGGGCGGGGTCTCAGGGAATCAACAGGACGGAGCAAACAGCTATGGCTGATCCTCAGCCCTGCCCTAAGAGATCCTGGGTCTCAGTTTCCTGGTAATCGCTGCAAGCACCTCTGAGAGAAAGCTGCCCTCAAGTTCCGCCCGCTGCCAGACAGTCCAGTTTCTCCCCATATGAATCTCAATCCCCAGAGACTTACCCAGAACTGGAGTCAGGGCCATCGGAAGCTTGTGCCTCGTTCCCGATTGCAAAAGACACTGGCGTCCACTCAGCCAGCCTTCCTGTGGTTCTGGATGAGGTCTGTTTTGTCTTTTAGTTGTATTTTTTTTTTTTTTATAGCAAAGGTGGAGATTTATTGAAGAACAAGTACAGACTCCCATGTGGGGAGAGGGAAGAGTCCCACAGAACGGACTCCCAAGTAGGGAGGGGGAAAGGGTCCCCTTTTAGTTGTATTTTTGAAGTGGTTGTTCACAGCAGCAATTTCAGGTGTTTATGCCGCCATCTTGGTTTCTCCTCTAAGGAAATATTCTTGACCTCTAGAGAAATGCAAATGAAAGCCTTGGCAATGAGAGACCACTACACACCTTCTAGAACAGCGAAAAGTAATGGGACTACAATATTCATACAAGGATCTGAGAAAGCAGAGAAACTGGATCTCATGCAAGGCTAGTCAGAACATAAAATGGTGTGGCCTCTCTGGAAAATAGTTTGGCAGTGTCTTAAAAAACTAAACATAGATTTACCTTATATAACCCAACAATTGCACTCACAGACATTTTTTATTTTTGAAAGAGAAGAGCAACATTTATAGGCTGCCTCTTGCATGCCCTCCACATGACAGTGGATTGAGCCTGCAACCTGTGTATGTGCCCCGACCTGGAATCAAACCAGTGACATCTCAATGCATGGGTTGACATTCAACTTAGCCACACCAGCCAGGGCTCACTCCTGGATGTTTATCACAGTGAATTGCAATCTTATGTCTGCACAGAAAGCATACAGACTTATTTGTGATAGCCCCAAATTGGAGACAATTCAGATGTCCTTCAGTGGGCAAGAGGTTAACAAACTGGTATATTCATAACATAGGCTACCACTCAGCGCTCAAAGAATGAACTATTTTTTTTAAAATATATTTTATTTTTTTACAGAGAGGAAGGGAGCGAGCTAGAGAGTTAGAAACATCGATGAGAGA